CCGCTTTAATTCACGTCTAATAGCCTGTCTGGTCACATTGTGTTCAGAACCAGCCGGGAGTTGTCTTCTAGCTTCCAACAGGTTCTCCGACCTCTCGGATATCCAGTGACTAGTGCGGTGACGATGGATAGTGCCACAAACAGATGCTCCTGCGTCGTGCATGGCACTCGAGATCTTATTCCACTGAAGTTCAGTGTCATTAGGCCAAGACAGCGAGAGTTCGGTATGCAGTGTGTCTTGATAGGCTTGCCTGACCGAGGGCTGGGACAATTTCTCCGTTGCTTGGTGCGCCTTCCGGTAAAGTTCATGGAGAAACGACAGCGCATCAAGACATGACCAGAGTCTACACAAGTACTCTAGTACGAACGGCAATCCAGAATGGAACCGCGCCATCTGTAACTTATGGCTATGTGGTCAACTTGGGTCCATCGCTGGCCAGCTACAGGTGGACGCCAAGTGGCACTTCGGCGCCCACTGTGTCTAAAAGCAGTGCTAGTAAGAAACAACTGGTGCTCCGCACACCGTTGCAGCAGACCCTCACCGTTGTCAGTCCGTTCGGAGTTAAGTCCATATTTACCACCCAGCTGAGCTTCTGAAGAGCTCAGACGCCCTACTTGTGCGTTCATATCCCCTGCAAGTACTATAATGTCTGAACTAGTAGGACTGCGTAGTAGAGCGTTCAGTTCGTGATAGAAAGTGTCCTTGACTGCATTAGAACTGCAGTCGGTGGGACCATAAACGGAAATCACAAACAGCGTTCTGTTTTACTTCGTGAATTCACCTAAGCTGATGTCGTCAAACGGGCTGCACATAAACGGCTGTTCACCGGAATCCAATCAACCAACGATGGCTCAGCCTTGGAGCTGTGAATGATACCTACACCAGCTTGACCGGTGAGTGCCGCATCGGCTTCTCCGGATGCGTGCAACCAATAACGAGAGGATAAGCCGGGTGCAGTTAATTCAATAACCCCGTTAGGGTCATTGATCCTAGTTTCGGACACACAACACACATCAACACCCAGTGTGTCCAAGGTGCGCGCGAGTGTAGCCTGCTGACCTGTTTATCTTAGAGTGCGAAAGTTGAATGTCGCCACGGAAACGGGATAGCGTGGCCTTATAAGAGACTTTTGCTGATAGGCGCTGTGGGATGGTAGCTGCAGATGGTTCTACTCCAGTGGCACTTCGGTTGCTGTCAATTAAGCTGGGAATTATGGAAATAAGGTTAGTAATGGGGGTCGGGATGTGAGTAAGAGAAACAGGCGGAAAAGAAAGAAGGGAGGCGCCAGCAGTAGCATGTTTTCGCTTATCCGCCGTGATGTATGCAGCAGATAAGGCGACCCTTGATAATCTGCGCGACGGCCGATGCAGGATGAAGTTTATGTTTGAAGAAAATGTCATGGTTGTATGTGGGCTGAGATACTGCCAGGGCGCCCAGACCTAGACAGGAGGACGATTAGGGTCCTCATCCAAAGCCTTTGGCTCAAAAGCCTGTCCGCTAGGCAGCGGGGTGTCAGTGATTCAGTTTTACAGAAATGGACGCCATCCCATTTCAAACCCCCAACCTGGAGGACCAGGAGACTGAGTTTGTCTGACCTCTCACCATTGACCAACCTGGTAGGAGTAGCTCTCAAGATGCTCGGAGGCATCACCCAGTATAGCTCAATGGGTCAATGAGGTACGCAAACCGTCGCACCACGTTAAGGTCCAATCTCGTTGCGACGGGCAGTAATTGTTTGGACGGGGTGTGATACGGTCTTTGTTTTAGGTTTTTCAACAATACAAGCAGGCCTGTCAATTCCCGATCCGACAATACACAAAAGAAGGAACATTCACGGGATTATCCTATCGTTCCGGTCCCAACTGAACTTGAACTTGCAGGTACCACTTAACACTGCAGGTACTACTACACCAGTTCGTTGACTTCCCTACTAGGTACATGAGGAATCGGCAGCCGTCCATTTTAGATCTTGTTTGTGCAAAGTCACTTGACTTTGTAAATGATATTGCTTACGGGTCTCCTCTTGACGCCAGTGATCACGTTTGATTGTCTTTCCAGTGTATCCTTATCAGGCCTTGCCAAGCTACTACCAGTTGGTATCCGAACATTTGACCCGCGGACTTCCAAGCGATGGGGGATAAAGCTAGATCATCGCCTTGTGTGATATCCGAGACCGACACTGTTCATATAGCCTGGGAAAAACTTAAGCCTCACCTCGTCGACATTTCTGCACTTCACATCCCAGTGGTAAAAAGAAGGGAATCGATAGATTCCGCGGGGAAGGGTCTGCTAAAGAAGCGATCTAGATGCTGGCTAGCGAAGCGAACAGCTCCGTCGAACAGCATGTTTGATAAATATCGTTTGGTTTGAAATGAGTGCAAGCTACATCTTAGGTTGGCCGGCTTCCTTATGAAAAGGGCTTAGCTGATACTGTTTCGAAAAATCCAAAGAAATTCATCGCTTACGTTAAACGGCGCTGTGGTGCAAACTCGCCTATACCACCATTGGTTCAAAGAGAAGGGACCCATGTCTATAGCAACTATGCCAAGGCATGTGTGCTTGGTGAGCAGTACCCAAGCGTCTTTGTCCGCGAAACAAATACGCCATGCAAAGAGTTAGCTTCAAGAATCTCTGAGGACCGTTGTCTGGATGAAATTCCTGTGAATCCCAAGTTCTCCGGTTGCTAAGAGGTAAACGCAACTAGGGTTTCCGGGCCAGATTCTGTTCATCCAAAATTGTTGCACGAATTGGCAGTGGAACTCAGTGGACCTCTGACTTGTGTTTCAGAAATCACTCAGCAGCTCTGTCTTACCTACCGAATTGAAGGAGGCTGTTGTCAGCCCGATTTGTAAGTGCGGTGAAAGACCTACCCGCTAATTACAGGTCTGTCCGCTTGACTAGTGTGGTCGTTAAGTTACCTAAAAAGTTGATACGAGATATAGTGGAGAACCATTTAAATATGTTTAACTTGCTTAGCGTTGAGCAACATGGTTTTCGCAAAGGATTTTCGTGTCAAACGAACTTGCTGGTAGCTCGTGAGACCTGGTCTGAAGCCGTAGACAGTGGACATGCGGTGGATGTGGTGTTCAATGACTTCGCCAAGGGCTTTGATACTGTCTCCCATTCGCGATTCTCACGGAAGTTGAGGTCGTATGGAATATCTGCTCGCACTCTCCAGTTTGCGTCAGCTTTTCTAGATGGACGGGAACGGTGTATTCGTGTGGAAAGCAGTCTTTCTTTTCGACAAGATGTCCTTAGGGGCGTTCCTGTCCTAGGTCCGCTACTGTTCTCAGTCTACGTGAATGACTTGCCGAGGGAGCTTGAGGTACCGGCGCTCTTATTTGCTAATGACTTAAAGCTCTGGAATTTTGTTGATATCGCTGGAGGTCCTGTGACTCTTCAAGGGGCTCCGGATAGACTCTGGGAATGGTCTGTCTTGTGGTTGCTGCCCATAAACTGGGCAAAGTGTTTCGTGCTGCGCATCGGAGCGTCTGATTCCTCCACAAGTTATGTGCTGGATGGGAGTGAACTTCCTCACGTGACTCATCAGGTTGATCTAGGTGTGGTCCACTGTTCCACACCACACTGGAGACAACTGGAAGAAGGCGGCTAGTAAAGGGTTCCGGATGTTGTGGTTTATCTGTCGTTCTTTCGAGACCCTAACCGCTAATGTGTTTGTGCGGACCTTCTCAGCGTTTGTGCGACCCCACCTAGAATATTGCGTCCAGGCCTGTCCACAATGCCTTGGCATGGACAAAATGGCACTAGAAAGGATGTTGCGTGTCGGTACTAGGTTGGTCGAGGGGTTACGAGGACAAACGTAGCCCGAACGCCTATTTGATTGGGGGATGCATTCAATACACTATCGAAGGATTAGTGGGGACCTAATCCTAACCTACCGTATTTTGACTGAGAAGGTTGGCCCTGATTTGTCCTGGCTATTTAGTCCTGGTAGATTATCTAGTCACCGCGGGCATTGTATGATACTGGACAAACCACAGTCCTATCGAGTTAGAGCCGAGATATAGTTATCGCGGTGAGTCTCATCGAGTGCTGGAACTTGCTTCCAGAATATGTTGTCAAAGTAGTTACGGTTAAGGGGTTTGAGCGTCAACTAGATGCTTTTGGGTGGCAACCCAAACTTTTCCTTTTTCCTGACAAATTCCCATCTTCATACTTCGATTCTATTTTCTGTACTTTTCCTCACCATTGGTATTATTCTCTTCTTTTAATTGATTTTCCTTACTCTTTACCTTTGATTTTTCTTCCTCACTTACTTCATGTGACTGTCAGCATGGACAGCTAATGTAAGGAACGTGAGCATCAAATTGGTGCACCAGGGTGTTTTTTCGGGTGTTTCCGTTTTAGACCCATCAAGAAGTCGGAACACCCCTATCAACTCCTGGATCGACGACCCGCTCAAGGAGGAACACTTGTAGTGGAAAGGCTAAACTGAAAAGACAACTACGTTAAAGAACAGTAGGAGGCGTATTTAGGAAGGTGGGCTGCTCGGTGACAGGGACGTCATTGGGTTTCCGTAGTGGTTGCGTCTCGATGTAAGCCAGCTTCAAGCGGTCAATGCTCACAGTATCCTGATAACCATTTCTATCCAGCACGAAGTACTTTTCTTTCCGGGCAACCACCTTTAAGGGGCCTTCGAAGGTGATGTCAGAGGTTTACGTGGAGGAATAGACACGCCCAAGAACGAAGGGGGCAAGTGCGCAGACTCCGGTGTACCTGTTGACCCCAAGGACTGATGCGAAGTGGCGGAGGAATTGAACTGTGGTGTTGCATCAGGCGTGTGTCGTACGTGGTCGGATCAACTTCTCCAGTAACCCTTGAGTCTAGCACCAGTTCTCCAGGAAGTCTGAGAGTAGTGCCAAAGACCAATTCTTTAATGGTGTTACGAATGCCAAGCAAGGTAATCGGCAGACGTTGTGACCATTATGTGTTCGACTGCGAAGCAATACTTGCGGCTTTAAGTTGGCGATTAAAAGATTCAACACTGCCATTAGTAGCCTGGGGGCTAGGCGGTTGTCCGTAGGTGGGAACAGCCAAGCAAGCGGTTCATGTCACGAAACAAGGCCGAATTGAATTGGGGCCCTCTATCGTTAGTAATAGTGACTAGCGAGTCAAAAATGGAAATCCAATTTTCAATGAACATTCGCGCCACAGTTTCTGTAGAAGCATCACGTAAAGGCACGGCAAGTGGGTAACGCGTATAACGATCAACACATATCAATAAGTAGACAAAACCGTTGGCGGGAGGCAAGGCTCCAACAATGTCAAAGTGAACATGTCTGCAACGAGCGTCTGGAACAACAAGCGTACCGGGCATGATAATCGTGTGACAGTGAATCTTGCTGGTTTGGCAAGTGATACAATGTTTGGCCCACTGATGGATCTGGGAGCGCACCTTGTGCCGAATGAAGCGGTCAGTAATCAGCTTGACGGTGGCTCGGATGCTCGGGTGTGAGATTCCATGCAGGTGGTCAAAGACGATTCGGCAGTATTGCTGAGGGACAAAAGGCCGGGGCTTGCCGGTAGAAATATCACAGTAAATTTTGCAGTCTGACTTAAGGATTGGTAACTGTGATATTTCGATCGACGGATTTAATCTGTTGCACAAACTCAGGATCTCCTTCCTGATGAGCTGCTATGTCTTCTAAGTTAATTTTCTGCCGTGAAACTTCGTGAAGACATATACGCAACGTGGCATAGGCGACAACGTTATTGGCAGCATCAACAGCAAATGTCGGTCGAAAACTGTGAGATATAATCCAACTGACGAATTTCTCTGAAAGAGAAACGGTCGGATAAACCACGAAATGCAAGGACAAGTGGTTTATGGTCTGTAAGAATGGTAAACGAGTGACCTTCAAGCAAATGCCGCAAATGTTTGATAGCGAGGTAGTTAGCTAAAAGTCCTCGACCAAAGGTGCTGTATCGCGTCTGTGCTGGCTGAAGTTTGCGAGTGAAAACGATAGCCGCTCAGGTTGACCGTTGCTTACCTGCTGGAGAACAACCCCAACGGCGGTCTGAGATGCATCAGTCTCGAGGATGAGAGTGGTGTCAAATGACTAAGCGCGGTAGCGTATGACAACGCGTGCTTGCACTTGTCGTATGCATCGTTTGCTTTTTGAGTGGGTTCGACTTTTCGTGACCTGCCTTTAAGTAAATCGGTCATTAACTGGAGTAGCCCAGAGCAATCTGGTATGAAACGGCTGTAGTAATTCACCATGCCGAGCAAACGACGGAGACTTTTGAAGGATTACCTCGTGGGGTAATCCGTACCCGCTTGTGTTTTCTCGGGCAGGGGACTAATGCCATTGCAATCAATTCCGTGGCCCAAAATATCAACAGAAATTTTGCCAAGAACACATTTGTCAACATTGATCGTAACCATGTACTGATCAGAGCGTTCGAAGATCCATCGAAGATGTCACTTTCAGGAGATGGGGGCTATTCCTGTATAACTCGCTGGACGGGGTAGGCAGTGAACGTCCTTAGTGATTACGTTGACGACATTTAGTCTCTGCTGAAGGAACCGCCATTGGTTACAGTCATGCTCTTGTCGTTGTTGTAAAGTTGCGTCAGAGGCATGCAGTTCTGGAACGCCATGCACTATGATGGAGTATGGTTGAGTGGGTGGCGTCAGTTGGTGCCTGCGCGCAACGCGCTCAGTCCAATGGATCTCGGGGAAGATACGAATGAGGTAAATGCCAAGAGATATGTTGTTTCGGAGTAGGTGAGCTGACAACAGGACATCCTCCATAGCCAGGCCTGGTTGCAAGTCAACACGCAGAAGTCTTGGCTTACTGGTACTCGGAGATGAAGGGTGGCGAGTCAGTCTGGTGAGAATAATGAATTTTGTTTCAGGTTTAACGCGATACAGGTTGAACTCCACATAGTGGAATCATGAGAATGTCGATTCTGAAGTTGCGGGTCGTCGGACTCGGGCACGTTTGTACAAATGACAGAATTAGGAGTAGGGATACTCGTTATTCACTTAGACTAACGCGGATGTGGAGTGGTAGCAAACTTACTTGGTGGGAGGGCCTCCGACGGGAGCGTTGGGCGTTGGCGAGTGTTGCACAGATAAGCACTTGTTAACGGTGAGACGATACATGATTCAGGACGGTTGGGAGGTTGCTGTCGTCGTTTGGCTAGGCCGTCGACTTTCCGAAACTGTAGCTGTTCTTCCAGATTAAGCAAGCGCACTTCTGAGCGGGTATTGTTGCTAGGCGGCTCGACGAATAGTGGTGACTGGAACGACAGCGTCTGCGACTGCTTAATTACGCGGTGCGGAGAGCGGATTAGTAAGAGACGAGATTACAGAACCAAGCATAGGGCAAGTCGTGGAGGAAAGGTCGCTAGGAATATCGCGCCCGTAATTCGCAGGACCGTCTTTGGATGCGAGCGACAGAATTCGATGTCAGCTGCGTGGAGCGAATTGTCACAGGGAGCGTGAACGCGGTGCAGACTGATCGAGCATGTGATGGTTTTGGAACGAGGTCCTACACACTGAGTGAAAATCGCGCAGGTGTTCAGTGGCCGCATGGGCGTATTGGGCAAGACCGAAATGATCCACATGGTCAAACGGATAATACAAATATCTGCAAATAAACTTAGTTGCGCGCCTGTCTCATGAGCGCAGAACGCACAGGAGGTCGCTGTCCGGCAGTACCCTAGTTACTCCCGCGCTCATCACTCAAACGAGCCTCCCCTGTATCTACATGAACGCACAAGGCCTCATGCCTAAACTTCCGGAGCCCCAATCCCGACTTCTGTCAACGCCAGCGGACGTAATAGGACCACCAGCCACTTGATGACCCCTTGATGCTTGCTAACGAAGAACTCGAGGTGGTTGATCATTTCACTTATCTTGGCAGCTGCATCAGCAATGATGGGCGCATAGAAACTGACGTGAGCTCACGCATTGCAAAGGCCAGAGCTGCCTTCTTGAACCTGCGGCATTTTCGGCGACAGAAGGGAGTTTCCCTTCGTCTGAAAGGCCGTGTATACAAGGCCACAGTGAGGGCCGTTCTGCTTCATGACAGTGAGACTTGGCCCCTTCGATCTGAAGATCTAAAGCGCCTTCAAGTCTTTGATCATCGTTGTTTGCGCAGCATTGCTGGTGTCGGATGGCACCAGCTTATCCGCAACGATGATGTGCGTAGGCGAGTACAAGGTAGTGATAATCATGCTAGCACTGTAGAACAACAGATAGCACTGAATAAGTTGCGTTGGCTCGGGCACGTGCTACGTATGCCTGGTCACCGCTTACCTAGGAGGACCTAGTTTAGTCCACCAGTTGTCGGATGGCGCAAGGCTCGAGGTGGACAGAAGTTGACTTGGCAGCGGGAAATGAAGTCGCTGACTACCAAACTGGGTGCCGTTGGTCCGTCTCGCCTTCCGGGTTGGAGTCCACGTGACTCACCTTGTGCTTGGCTCGAAACTTTACAGGACATAGCTCGCAATAGACACCAGTGGCGCGTCTGTTGCCGTCTGCTATTTGGATTGTCTGTTTAAAGCGTGTTTGGTGCTGAGTTATCTGCAGGGTAATGGCTGATTATGACGCGGGGCAGTGAAAGCCGCAAGGAAGCTGTCTCGCCGATGCCGCCTTATCTTTGCACGATAGCCAGCTGTTTGTGACGGTATGTTGTCTACACAAGGTGTAGGCGCCTTGACCCACACTGTTTGCTTAGGGCATTAAGGTTTTCAGGTAAGTCCCTCTTCTCTCCCTCTTCTTATTCTTTATTTCATAGGTGCTCATGGTTGTATGGCAGCGAATCCTCAGTTCAAATGGCTGATGTACTGCTGTTGATGATGATGATGATTGCACCAGTTGCATTTTTCTCTTTTTTATGTTTTGCGGCACAGTAGCTGAGGTGTTCCCCACCTCTAGCTAACATGTATGATGATGATGATGATGATGTCGCGGAAGCCAACCGAATGCTCTGGGTTTTACGAAGATCCTTCCGTAAAAGTACGCCGGAGACATTTAAAACGCTGTTCGCTTCGCATGTCCTTCCGATGCTAGAATATGGTGTCCCAGCCGCTTTGCCCCCGACGAAATCTGAATATGGTCTGGTAGCGAAGGTGCAGAGGCGCCGTTCAAAATCTATATCGGACCTTCGGGATCTTCCCTGCACTCTTCCACTTAAGGATTTGGACCTGTTCTCCAAGAATCATCGCTGCCGTCGCGGAGATCTCTACACCAGATACATCCTAAGGGGAGAGCTAGGAAGTGAGCTGCAACACTTCTACCATCTAACTGTGGGCAGCTCGACACATCGCTACAAATGGAAAGTATTTAAGCCGAGGGCACTTCGGGGCCGTCCACAAGATGCTCTCTTCCAGAGTGGAACAGTCTGCCGAAACACATCATCAACTCGCAGACGAAGGAAAGTTTCAATCTATTGCTAACCACCCATCTAACACACATAGCAGGGTGCTGCTGCTCTTACTCCAAAGGTGCTGATCTTCGAAGGAGTAACGTTGTCCAACAGCAAGCACCCACCTTGTGCTGACTCGGAACCGATGGAGCTGACAAGCGATCACCCTCCGGCTCTCAATCTTCCAATGTAAACCTCCTTGTGAATGACAACAATAGTCACCTTCTTCCAATCACGCGGCAGCTCGTCTACTTGAAGAGACCCGTTGAATAACTCTGCGACAGGATACTGAAAGATACCAGCCAGTGGCTTAACTAGTGGGATGTACACTGTCAGGACCAGCTGATTTATGAGTTCAAACTAGCCAATACTGTGAAGACCTCTGACACGTTGGTAATAATTTTCCGCATCGTATAACTATTTGAGCAGTACGGTTTGGATCGCAAGACTGACTTACTATCCTTCCGACGCAGATTTTGGAAGACATGTAGCAGTACTCCTACTTTATCGACGTCGTCCGCAGCCTGCCTGCCATCCTCCATAGTTAGACAGCCGACCGCCTCTCTTAGAGAAGCCTTTGATTGGACATAACTGTAATAGGTGGGATTTGTTTTCAAAAACTTGACCAATCTAAGCTCATATGAATACTTCGCCTGCTGCTGCAACTTAATAGCCATGTTTCTACATATTATATATTGCAGTCAAGGCCGGAAGCCCCGAGTTACTTGGTGTTTTCTCCACTCAACATTGCGCCTCTTTGTCGCTCTGTCTGCCTTTCTCCTTCACCATCGGGATTTGCCAAGATGACTCCTAAGACGTAGGGGAGCAACTTCATTCAGTAACTACACTTTTGAGTAAGAGCCACTTCTGTTCCAAAGAGGCCTTGTCCTGTTCAGGGATCCAATTGATTTGAAGAGCTCGATCCCACAGCTTCGTAAAATCAAAGCGATTTAAATTCCTCCCCATTCAGTGATTCTCTGTAAGCCTCCGTGTGTTCAGAGAACATGTCAAAACGCAATGATCACTCTTACCTATGGGTGGCTCCACGCGTAGGTAAATCAAGTGACCATGTCTGGCGATCACGACAACGAGTACTCCCAAGAAGAACGATGTCGTCCGCATACTCCATGTTTGTCAGTCGGTCACCTAGT